AACCTGAACACAACAAATAATTCTGCTAATCCGTAATACACCAGGCTGGGGAGGCTCCCGAGATCCAACAAGTTATCGGGAGATAATGGAAAAACGGAGGCGAGCTGTAAGAACTTAAGACAGACAGGTTACTCAGCTAAGTCTGTTCTGAACCAAAGCGCAGCAGTGTGACAGGAGACACAAGCAGGAGTAGTCAAGATATCGCACAATGGCAATTCCAAAATTAGCCAGGAACAAAAGGTTAGATTTCTGAAAAGATGACAGAGTAGTACTAGTGTGAGAACCAACGGAGGAATAACTAAAGCACCTCAAACACCACCATTAACGCTGTTAAGACAGACATCTGAAAAGCAGCTTTTAACACGGTCGTATTTTGTTGAAGGTAGAAGCAGAATATTCAAGAGGAGATACAGGACTGGATGACAAGAACAACAGAAAACAGAAAAACCTTACTCCAAACTAAAATCAACTTGCCAGAGAAGAAACAAAAAGACAATTTTGAAAAGCTTTACCTGAAGTGTTTAGTACTGAATACCACAGGAACAGAGCCCCCAAAATACATACCAAACCATAGGCCATGCTTCTTTCATGTTCTTGGGTTATGTCTGCTACATATGCAAAAACCACAGAAAACGTCACTGCAAAAACTCCAGAGACAGAGATAACAGCGAAGTACCACCTAAGAACATTATAAAAAAATTAGAACAGCCTAATAAAAACAAAAAGTCTCTATTTACAATCCAAGTACAGTCAACAATAAATCATCTTTGATAACCAATAAACCAACTTTTCCTGACAAATATTAAGATAAACTTGGATAAAGCCAATGTGAACATGTCTCACTACAGCTGTGTAATTCCTCCTTAATGCAGCAAGTACAAAATTAAACAGCATAATCTTGTAACATCTACAAAAAGCTGCTGTGATCAAGTACTTGTAGGAAATGAAGTGCTAAACTAACTTCGACTGGAAACCTATGACCCAAAGCAATTTATGAACTTCAATATTTTGAGAATCTGATCATTGAGAGGGTTAGCCTTATCTTTATGCTATAGACACTAGCACTTGTGTCACCTGAAACATTCATCTACACTTAGAAACAAGCTACTTCCCAGAAAAATGATGAAGAATCCATGAAGAATCTGTGTGACTGGAGAGAAAACTGAAAAGGCTCACAGAGCTACCTGAACAGCTGGCTCTGCCCTGCGTCAGTGCAGTCTGTGTTATTTCAGCTACACCCTCAGGTACAGCATGCGGGTAGTCTGACAACACTGAGAGTTCTGACTCACACACTACCTGGGGAATGTACGTGCCAGTTAAGAGCTTACTAACTTGCACACAGCGTGAAAGCTGGTGGATTTTACAACTTGAGAAACAAAAATATAAAATTGCAGCAACATTTTAGGTTACAAATGGTTACTTCATGCATTAGGTAAGGTTTTAGTTTCTGCATAGTTGGCTAGTATTTGAGGAATATGGCCACAATAAAGACCTGCATAGTTCACTGGATGGCATTCTAGCGTCTTTTGCAAATGTGCTGAAGTAGAAGCGGGTCTACAGCACAGCACTCAAAACCAGCAGCTCTTAAAATTCTGACCGAGGCATTTGGCCTCATGGCAGCTACCTCAGTTTGACTCTGTTCTCCCAACTTTGCACTGAAGTAACACAAAAGTCTCAACCTTCCACAGAGCACAAACAGTATTTTATCAACAAGGCTACAAACATGAGCAGTGTATAGCAACCTTGACAAGAAAACGGCACATCTAATGTGAAAGAATTTACTAACCATGGGCTGATCTTCATTAGTGGTATTGGTGCACAGGTGAAAAATACTGTTAGCAGCAAGAAGGACTTCCGTCCCCACACATCAGACAGGGCACCTATGAGCGGGGCACTGAGGAACGATAATAAGCCCTAAATGAAACAAAATATCTTAAGTTAGAACTAAGCGGTTAGAACCGTGACAGTCAACCACACCACAACCTGACAGCAGGCTGGGCTCTGTCTTTACGAAAGTTGATGACTACAGTCCAACGCCTCAAAGGCAATATGAGCAAGCATTACTGATCTTCTACCCCATGTCTGGTTAGATACAATTTGAGATTTATTACCTCAAAGCTACACAAAACTCCAAATGCAGCTGATCCAGTCATACTTGCAGTTTTACAGTTCTATATATATTTAGAATTCACATAAATGTAAGTAATTGAGAATACCCCACTGGAGCAATGAGGTCCAACTAAGAAATTCTCAAATTTTAACACCATGTGTGTCATTTGGGATTAGTCAACTACCTTTTTATTTGCTGAACCCAAACAGCAGGTACATACCAAACAATATCTTACTAAAAGTAAAATGATGCGTGTTTGCTATTTAGCAAAAGTTTACTCCCCTGATTTATTTATAGCATGAAAGTGATACTGAAAAACCTCTTGAATGTCTCTCTCAATTGGCAGTCACATCTCTACTCCCACCATTCAGCTTAAAGTTGTACTTGTGATTAGCTTTTGCCACCTTACCTTTACTCCTTGAATTAGCCCATTCATTAGAAATGTATGTTTGGGGAAGGTTTCATGCAAAACCTGGAGAAGAAATATGAACACTGTCATATACACAATATTAACTACAAATATTGCTCATGATGCATCCAACTTCTACAGTGGCACACCCACAGTAGTTTTATATTTTCACAGAATATAGAGACAGAAAAAAAGATGCAGCACAAATAATCTAATCTTTAATTCACATGGAAGGTACTTTGAGATTTTAGCTTTATTTGATAGAGGCCTCAGTTCTCTCAGAACTTTGGGAAGGATTAACATCATCTAACTTCAGTGTCTGAAATCTAAATAGACTGCAGAGAACCTAGAAAATGATCAGACCAGACTCCACATGTTACTGTGTCATCTGCAGGGGGCTGGGGAGAGAGAGGAGAGATGACATCATTCTGAAGTGCCTCTCAGTTCGGTGATCGGAGCCTAGATCTGCAGGTTAAAATGGGCACACCTCTGGCTGACTTGTGTGACATGAGATGGATTCCATTCAGTGATTGACGTGCAGTTCATAGCCAAGAGACTGCTCATGGTTAACATCAGCTTACACAGCCACACCAAGACTGCCTTTTAGGTGGAGTTTGCTTGGGGATCTTGAAGCCTTTGCTCCTTTTAATCTGTAAGCATGTGTCACTCTCAAAGATTCAATCCGAATGGAAAGCAACCAACTACATCAGAAAATAATTTGGTACAAACAGATTGGTATGACTGTCTTGCTAATCATAGGGAAGTGTTGACTGGTGTAACAGCATCTGCGCTCTGAAGCTTCCATTTAAAGCACAGCCAGGTCAGCAATGATCTCCCTCCCTACACACACACACTTGCACAATCTTACCAAATTTCAGGTGTATTTTTGTCCTTACATTTGTAATGTGCAAACTTTTTGTAACATCTTGACAGGAAAGACAATTTCATTCAGTACTGTTTTACTGCTTTCAAGTCAGAAAATATTTACATGTAAGCTTGAGTGTTAGCAGACTTGCACATAAACAGCTATACTGCATCATTACACTGCTTTAATGAAATAATTTAAAATTCCTGATTCCATGTAAAAACACAAAAACTTCTCACTTGCACAACAGAGCAGCTCAATGATATATAATTTTCATTTAATTCCAAAGATGATCAGTGCCTTTGCAGTAATTGGCCCATCTCCCGCACAGCGAGAAAACGTTATCACTTACCACCAGAGTTGGTGCTGTCAAGAGTCCCCAAGCAAAAAACTCCAAGAAGATCACTATAACAGCATGGTAGACACTAGGTGAACCTATTCCTTGAGGCTAAAACAAGCGAAAAAACAGGTGATTAAAACATCCAACAATCTATTACAGGACTATAAATGGACTAAAAACCAAAACAGGACTCAGAACATGGGAATATAGTTACTCAAGCTAACTAGTACTGACTGAAATTCCTTTATTAAGCCTTTGCTGCCAACGTCCTGAAGTGTCTTAATCCTCCACAGAATACAAAGTGTGCTCCCATCTCAAATTAAAAAATAACCCACTTATACTGCCAGTCTGGGAAACAAGGATGCTATTGAAAGTGCAAACAGACTCTTCTTCAGATAATTAGTTCCTTTTCTTTGAGAAAAATGCTTAAGCCCACACAATGCTACATGGAAAACAAGTTTTCATCATTTCAAAACATGGTAGCGTTCACACTCAGCTATCCAGAAGTCTAATTACCTGGTCTATCAAACAGCTTTATAGTACTTCTGTTACTAAAAGGCATCATGGCTACGTACAAAACTTTGATAGCTTGAGATCAGGAAAGAAAAACTGAACTAACGAACGCCAGAAGTGAATCTCAGGAACAGCACTGATCGCTTCCCAAATACCGAGAGCGAGCTTCTTAGCTACAACATGCTTCAATGCAGGAAGAGATCTGGATAAAAGACGTGAAATGAGGAACTTTTAATTCTTTGGTGATTTAGTATAATGAGAAGCAGCTTTTGTGGAGAACAAAAAGAGCATGGATAGGACAACCTGCTCATCTCATACACTCTGTAAATGCTACCCTGTCAAACAACATGCCACAGTTCATCATTTGCAAATTGAGGAAACAGTGCACTAATTATTTCCATATGAAGGTAGTATGAATAACTCATCAGAAATCTCGCATTCTTTAAGCTTAGAAGTGCTGTCTGAACATCTGCTTTCCCCGCTTTGTGTGAAGGTGAGTTACTGACAGAGTGGCACTGATTTGATTAGACCTAGCACTTATACTGAGCAAACACACGCAGGCTGGAGTCCTGAGCTGCTTCTCAAGGTGGCTGAGGGGGATCTTATCAACATGTATAAGTATCTGATAGGAGGGAGTAAAGATGACACAGCCAGACTCTTGTCAGAGGCATTCAGCGACAGGACTGAGGGCGCACCCTGAAATACAGGAAATTCTACTTAAACCTCGCACAAAACAGACCCCTGGAAACAGGCTGCCCCGTGAGGCTATGGAATCTCCTTCCCCTAAACCTGACTGGACACAGCCCTGAGCAAAATGCTCCAAGGTGACCCCATTTGGGGGAAGAGAGTGGGCAGTTGGATTAGAGATGTTCAGAGGTGCCTTCCAACCCCAAACACTACACAATTTTAAGTTTCAGTTAGGTAATACTAGACTCTTATTACAAGATTTATGCAAGTCACACCTAGCTTTTCTTTCCAGATTCCAGTATTTCCAACACCAAAATAAAAATAAGCCGTTTGAACAACTGTACAAAACAAATACAGAAAATCACACTGGTCATTCACCTTTATTGCTAGAAAAGATCATAATTTTCAAAAGTAACTGTATCAATATGTAAAAGGTGAGCTACGAAAGTACCTTAGCACTGTGCTATTTTGTCTCTCTCAAGCTCTCTTCAGTAAATATAGATATCACACCATACAGGTATCTCTGCTATTTTTACATCCCATTCTCTTAAGGAGATAAATTAACAGTCTTTATAGGTACAGAAAGTGGTTATAATTATCTTCACTTCCCACAATTCCTTTCCCTTTCCGCCCACAACTCTTATTTTAGTTTTGGGCTAAAAATTTATCCAGCTCTGCATGAACTGTAAGTAACAATCTCAGCTGTTTGTCTCAGTCTGATACAGAAAATCAGGTTCATTCTTAGTCCCCAGATTCCTGTCAAGTTACTGGCTCATGACCCCCCAAGGTATTACAGACAGTGAGGTAGGAGTCATGAACCATCCCAGTCCCTCCAAGCACCAGGGGTCAAAAGTGCCTCTGTTCTGTTCACAACAGCAAACGCAAGCTCAACAGCCATCTGCGTCTGTGCTGCCCTTGTCCAGTTCTGGGCAGCTACTCAGAGATCACACGCACAAACCAGAACAGCAGAATGAAGCCAGTGGCTGCCCTGCACAGCTAAACTGTTGGCAATTTGAGAGGCACACAAGCAGGTGACTGCTGCCCTCTGCCATGTCATCCAGCCATGTCATCCAGCTGTAAGCAACCTGATCAGATGCTTCTATTACATTGGCAGAAACAAACAGAAGTGACATTTAGATCACTACGGTTAAGCTTCCTTGCTTTCTTGTTGCTAATGCTCACTTATCGTGGGTACTGTTATTTGTTCTTATCTATAAAAAAGAAGTAATTTAGTCACATTTAGATCATCACCTCCATAGCTATTTTTAAAGATGGTTGCAACCATGAAGTAGCAAAAATACTCCCGAGGTAGAAGAAAGAGGGAAGGAAACTAATAAGTGGTTACATTACAGCGCATTGAGATATATTATGTGCATTCAGTCCACAAGACTTAAGTGCTGGTCTGACATACCCGCCCACCCCAACACGTACAGCACAGGTGTTGGGCATTCAGCCCTGTCTTACTCTAAAAACCTGTCCCCGCTGTGCTTTACAAACTTGCTAACCTAGCATAGTGTAATGTAATAACCTAAGTGCAATCAAATCAGAAGGCCTTACACCTGGAGATAAAAGATACAGAGCCTTTGTATGAACAACCTGGACCTGAGATGTTCTAGAGTAACAGCAACCCTTCTCTGCAACCATGTAGCCAGAGCAGAGCGTATCGATGTCTGGCACAAAACAGTGCTCTAAGACTGCCCCTTTCTCTAGTTAGAGAGAAAACGTCTTTAACCAAACACTTTGTACCATCAGTTGTGCCAGTGATAAAAACTGTATATATCCCTGGCAACCCTAAGAACACGCATCTGATGACAACAGAATAACTATCAAAGCAACAAAGGCATCAGATACAAGATCATAGCTGCTGCTCCTCTGCTGGAAAGGAAGAGACATCAAATAAAGTACTAAGGTCTAATTCTCTCCGGCATTGCTCTGGTGTGCACCTCCTAATTAATTTCATGAGTGCTTCAAAAGCACATAATCTTACATAAGATTAATTCCAATTGATTGTAAAGGAAGGCAAAACGAAGAATAGCGTTGAAACCACTTCGCTGGTGCTACTGCCTCTCCTTCAGTGAATCTGATAACACACACTTAAGTACACACACCATTACACTTTTTTTTCTGTGATACAGCTACTAAGCTACAAAGCGAACACCACAAAAATACCACTATGCACCAACCCAACTTCCTGCACCACCTGTTGCCTGGACAAGGAGACCCAGCATAACCCACAACAGGAGGAGAGGCTTTGCAGAAGCAATGGGTGGTTTTTCCCTTTTGCTTCTTCTTTTCTTTCTGCATCAAAATCAGTGATTAGAAGTGACAATAAATTAAATTGACCGAAGGTCCCCATCAATAAACTCTTTTTGCCTGTGACACTGCCTCATTAAACAGCTCTATATTCTTGCTGGCACAAAAGTCACAGTCATCTTTGATGTCAAATAGTTTCAAAATAAACCAATCAGGCTGGAAACTGTACACTTAGATGCTTGATTAATTACTGGTTTGCCAGTTGGAGACATTCAAGATGTCAGCCATTTTCATTTACCTGTTTCCCATAATGTCACACAGCATGCTGGGTAAGCAAAGAAACTAAGGCGACTGAGTGCAGAAGGCTAATTAAACGTTTCAGCAAACATTAAAAAAAATAATCCAAGCATAAAATCTTTGCTGTTATTATAAAGAATACTCTACTTTACCAGACTGTTGAGCTTTAAAAATGTATTTAAAACAAATAAATTCTCAAAATATTTGTTTGAAGGCAGAAAATATCACAAACTAGTATTTTTGTTATCTAGCAACAACCTACATACCTTCAACTAATGTTTATAGTCCATTTTCCCACTGTTTTAAAAACAACTGAAAATCATACAGAACTCATGCAAGTTTGCACTCTGCTTTTGAAACTAGTGGGAGACACTGACTGCAGCACTGTAAGTATCACTGAATGCAGTTATTAACTGTCCTTTATCTCGCAACTGTAACTTTATTTTGCCAAGAGAGGAGACACTTGGAAGTATACTTTATTTTAATCAATGATTACTCCAGAGAGAAATTCTGAAGCACTATGTCCCATGCGCAATAACATTCACTCTGCTTCTGTTACTCATTCTACACTAGTTATGCTTCTATTTGTACAAGGTAATTTACAAAGAGCAGGAAAACATGTCCTGGAAAACATCAACATCCATCACTAGAATTAGTTTTGCTTCTTACCACTAAGTAATCCAGACAGTTGGTCACCAGTGTGATGAACAACTATAGTGACTGACACCTCCCTCTTCTCCATTATTGCTCCAAAAAAACCTTAAGGACCACCAGCAATCGAGTCTGTCAAGATGTCTCTTTATTTGAAGGAATGATACTGTATTTAGAAGAGTGCACATCAAAGCTACACAATGTTACACAGTGGAAAAAATCCAGGGGCAATGATACATTGGAAGTAATGCCACTCATCAATTAAAAAAAACCCCAAACCCAAGCTCCAGCAGCCAAAACACTTAACAGCTTCCTTTCTTTTTAAAATTCATACATTTAAGAGGAAGCAAGATAGTGGGAGGGAACTGCAAAACCCTTCTTCCAGGGACCCTTTACGTGACTTCTCTGATACAAGTGTCTGTCCCGCTCGCTGGCCGATTCTTTCTCCAACGACGGAAACAGAGAGGACAGAAGGCTGCTGTGGTGGCGATCCATTCACCGTGTGGGCAGAGCCCATCCCAGACGGTGATCCCAAAGCCCACCACACCACACTGCATCCTAACCACCCTCGGTGCTTCCTGCTTTCCTTTGCAACAGCAACTGCCAGCCCGCACCATCCCTGCCTATTGTGCAGCCAACTGCTGCTCCCGAGCATACAGCTGGCTTCCTAGCAGCTCTTCCTTCCGCGAGGAGTAATTTAAATAATTTTCAATGTCAAGTTACGTTTAGACACATACCGCATG